TCTCCTGGTTTGAAACTGCAGTCCAACAGAGCCGAGATGAAAACATCTTTTAGGAGGCGTGGCTGGGCGCAAATTAAGAGTGGATACAGCTTTTATTTAATATTGGTAGATAGTCTCGAAGTCCACTACTGACCGGTCGTTTTAAGTAGTTGAACCTTGTGTATAGGCAAGAGCATCTGATATTCTCAACCATTTCTTGTGTGCTTTGTGTGTTGAAGAGACGCAACGGGGTACGATGCCTATTCGACGAGCCGCGATTTGACGTCTGGCTGCGTTTGTCGGCACCACTTTCACATGCTCGGCCACATCCGCAGCATCGAGCGTCGTCTTCTCGCGGCGCCACCGTGTCGGCCAACGGTTGGCGCTGGTCCGTCAAGAGGCGGCATCCACTGGCGCCACGCCGCGTCCAGACACCTCACTCCGCCTCGCTGCCTCAGTCCGGCCAGACTCGGCCATCCTCGATCGCCGAGCCTCGACGACGCTATCGAACGGTCGCCAGGTCTACCGGGCATGTGCAGCCGCGGGCATCCCTGCTATCCCCTGACGACGTGTCAGTCCGGCCATCCGTCGGGCCGAGCTGGGTTTGTTCGGCCAAAAGGAGGTGGACTCGCGCTGTCCAGACTCATGCAGCCCCAGCGACCGGCCTGCACTCGACCTTGGGGGCTGGACATGCGTCTCTTTGCCCCGTGACGACTGCGTCTTCAGCTCGGCCTCTTACTCGGACCGGCCATCGCGATTGGTACCACCAACAGAACCAGTCGCCGCGAACCGCGCCAACAGCCGGTCGTCCGCAGCACTCCACCGCTTTTCACACCCGCTTTGATCGCTTCTCTCTATCATCCACTTCGTCTTTGCCTTTGTCCTCCAGCCCTCCTGTCTCAGCCTCGTCTCGGCTCAACTCGACGACCCCTCTTCACCTGCCCCTCGCCTCGAGCCGTCAATCCTTGACCCGACGACCTCACTACCTCCGGCCAGGCTTACATTCGCAATCTGTCCGCCTCCTCCATGATTCGGCCGTCTTCAGCCCCTCCAAATCGCATCACTTCAAAAGACCTCTTAAACCCTCTCGGTTTGTACAACTCTCGTTTATGCCTTGCCCTTGAGTTGATATGAGCTGCCTGTATATGGAATGTATTCATACTCTTTCGTTTAGGATGATAATGGTACCGATAGTTGAATTTCACATAGCCCTGCTTTCCCAACAGTTATTCTCATCCAGAGCGGACTGCAGTTTCGACCTCGCCTAGGTCTTATCAGCACCCCTCGACAGGACTCGAACCGTCACGATGAAGTATATAATCTAAACGAGTTTACCACAGTGCCACAAATGCCACGAATGCTCTTGGGTCACAGGGAAAATGAGAATTTTAAAGAGAGTCAACCATTTTCCCATATCGCATTATTTAAAGGAAACTACCAATCCCCTTGTCACCCTAAACGAAATAAGATGGCTACATCTTTTATACACACATATATATATATATGATCTACTGGTTGTCCCGACAGCCTATTTATAAACGAACCCCTTACCCCAACTTGTGTTGCCGTGACAAATGGTTAGGGTTGTGAGATAGGTTGATTTCGACATTATCATTACTTATGGTAGTTTCCCGTTGATGGGTAGGTTTTCGAGACTACCAGTAGATCTGATATAAGAACTAGGATGAAGATGTAATGAATAATTTGATTTTCCCGAAATCTGTTTTTATTCTTCTCAGAAAATATCCTTATCCTGGCTGGAGTGGACTACAGTTTCAACCTCGCCTAAGCTGGTCTCATCAACACTCCTAGAGATACTCGAAACCGGCTTGTTGTAGTTCCGCGTATTGTCACGAGTTCTAATGATTGATGAGTCAGAATAAAATTTAGATGAAGCCTTAACCTTTCCCATATCTCATTTCTATGGTGGCAATGTCGACCGAGCAAAGCTTTATTTTCTATAGTAATCGATTACATTACTTATTTTTAGCTTATTAGTAGATTTTCGTTTAAGGTGACGAATGACTGGTTATAATATTTTCCCATTATGATATGAGTAGAGCTGAAGTTTTCATTGAATTTCACATTGCCTTGCTTTCCCAAAAGTTGTTCTCATTCAGGCACCAGTGGACTGCAGTTTCGACCTCGCATTGGTCTATAACAATCGACTACATTACTTATTTTCGTATTTGAGTAGAGCTTGGAGACGTCAGCTCTACTCATAACATAGTGGGAAAATTCTATTATCAGTCTTTCATCACCTCTTATATTACTGATTTACTGGTAGTCTCGAAACTCTACTCAAATACGAAAATATTTACTACAATACCACAATTCGGGTTAGAGTCCCGCTTAGAGTGCTGATGAGTCCAGTTCATGCGAGATCGAAACTGAAATCTAGACCAACCTGTGTGAGAATACTTTTTGGGAGGCAAGACTAACAGTGAAATTCATTGGAAGCATGAAAACTACTCCTAGGATTGTGGAAAAATTGTAATACCAGTCCTTCAACACCTCAAATGAAGTAGAGCGAATACAGTACTTGTAGATGAACTTAGTTGTTTCAGATCCCCTAAGGTGATTTAAAGACTGCAATCAGATGAACACATGTTCTTTTTCAACAATTACTGATAGCCTCAAAAACTACTCATTCAAAGTAAGAAACGTTGTTAATTGCAATTGCAAACGCATGTTTGCTTGTAGATGCAGAGTCGCTGGATTTTGAAGAATCTTTTAACATAACATTGTTGTGGAGATATTCATTTCATACGAAAGTGCAAGATGGAGATATTCGCTGGATCTTATCACAAGATGGCGTCTGAGTCCCATTGTTTTGCAGCCGTTTAGCTGTAATACGACCTTCCGGCTGGCACAATCCACGAGACATCCTCCCTCACCCGGCTTCAACCGAAACGAGGGAGGTCTTCTGGACTGCATCAGACTTAACCTTGTAGGAAATCCAAGTGGCTGCTGGTCAACCGGAATCATCTATCGTCTTCTGGTAGCACCAACCTTATCAGACAGACTTTCACATAAAATGAAGACCTCAACAGCAATTTTATCACAAGAGCTTCATCGAAACCCAGCTACTCTTCGCAACAATTGTGCTTATCACGACACAAGACAGCGGACGTTATCCTTCGGCAGTTAGAACTAACAGGACTACCATAACACAACTGAATGGTCCCTGTTATGTAGTAGAATGGCGTTCTCCTGGCTTCGCACACGCTTGCCCTTATGCCGAGACAACAATGCTCAGCAGTTGCTGTGGCCTATTTCATTGTCCCTTGTCTTTCGTCCAGCTCCCATCTGGAGCAGATGCTACCTGAGCAAATTCAGGATTAGCTTGCACTCTTGCAAAATAACCATCGGATAATTTATGTTCTTACTAAGTAGGTTTCGCTGCTGTCAGTAAATCTCGAAGCCCACTTCTAATAATTATAAGTAGTGTAGTCGATTGTAGTGACAAAATGCAGACTTAAGATGTATTTACCCCATTTCTTCAAGGTGATCTAGGGTGGGTAGTTTTATTTTCCCACAATGAGATGAGTAGGCCTCATGTTTTCATCCAATTTCCCATTGCTTTGTTTCCTAAAATGTATGCTCATCTCGGCTCGGGTGGACTACAGGTTTGACCTCGCACAGGTTTCATCAGCAACCCCAGCGGGACTAACCGTGCTAGGGCAGCGTGTTACCTCAACACGTTAACCATAGTTCGACTCCCGTTGAGGGTGCTGATGACGAGGTCGAAACTGCAGTCTATCCCAGCCGATATAAGCATTTCTTTTGGAAAGACGTACTATATGAAATTGAATGGAAGGGTAAGGTATTTTAATCTCATTGTTGGAAAATTAAACCAACCGTCCTTTATCAAATAAACGAAATAAAGTGAATACGCCTACTGGTAGCGTTGAAAACCCACTTATAAACAAAAACAGAGCTGAGTATACTTGACTCATGGATAGTTTATCCGTTGAATTGTGTCCTATTGACGTAGACCTCCCTTCTGAGGATAAACTTGAAAATTAGTAAGTTTACGTTTCACCCAGGCAGGATTGAACTACACTTTCGACTTTGAACCGTGACAGCGCAGCGTTCGAGTCCCGCTGGGGATGCTAATAAGTAGTACGCGCAGTCTAAACTCAAGTCCAGCCTGAATGTGAACACTTTTTGGGAAGCAAGGCTATGCGAACTTAAATGGAAACTTAAGACCCACACACATGATTGTGGAAAAATTCAACTATCAGTCCTTTATCTTAACCAAATAGAGGGAACACACCTCACATATATGATCTACTGGTAGTCTCGAAAACTTACTTATAAATCAAAAATATAAGTTGGCTTTGTCGGCACTCTCACTATTTAATAAGTGTGGTATGAAATGGTCCTGACCTTCCTTGAAATTTACATCCGCCCTGTCAACCAGAGACACTCATGGCCTTCTGGTGTTGTTGTAACATGTCGAAATTACTCGCAACATTATCACGACCGGAATTAAATTCCGGCTAGGGGTTCTGATGGAGCCAGTTTAGGCGAGGTGGAAATTCGAGGATAAGTCAGGATGAGAATACCTTTTAAGAGGCTAGTGTAAGTGGAATTCATCTGAAACTATCAGCCCTTTATGCTCTGGAGACTAAGCGTCTTGTATGAAAGTTTAACCGGCGAGCTCAAATATTTTCTGCATTTTTCTGTAGATAAAGTCTATTCTTAACAGCTGAATCACTAGCACTCCCTAGACTATCGGAGAATAGTCTGTATGAAAAAATCTCTTTTGTAAGGTTATATTCTGTCTGGCATTGCAACTTACTTCCCTCTCTTTAGTCGTTGGCATCTGCACTATCAGTGCCAATTTGGGGCTTGTTTGGAGGAAATTTGCAATTACTTCAAGTATCATTTAATATATACACTCCGATTCCCGCTTGGGACTTTTTTGGACTTTTGGACTCACCTTTTTTCTATCAGTTGGGCTGTCACACATCATGCACGCTTCCACATAATTATATATATATATATATATATATTTGTAATATTGTATTTAATAGTTAA